TTTGAGAAGCCACCTTTCATGCATCGTTGCAGCCAGAGCCATTCTGACATACGGAAGTGTTATTTAGCACATCACTACTTCCTGTCATTAAAAGTGAGAATCAGCCACATTATGATTTCTATCAGACTGCACTAAAGAATACCATGGATCACGCTCAGGTATGATACTCTATTTTTACCTGTTTTTCCAAAGTTATTGCTTATGCAAAGAAAATCCACTGCTCAGTTGGAGCATCTTGCACATTGCACTTGGTCTATGACTTAGTTTACAGTCTACAGTAGAATTGCACTTTTATTACCCAGTCCAAGTCATCACTCAGAAGACCTTTAACTAAAGGTAATCAAATTCACATTCAGCTTCCCTTCATATGGCCGTAATTAGCTGAACACACTCTTGCACCACTCACTTTTGGAGCTCATTCGTTGCGCTGAGGAGCTGTGCCTTTGTGTTATGCCAAGGACAGCACTCAAGCTCCTGGTCCCCTGCAGTAGCTCACACTTCAGCACAATAACCCACCTAATCACAGAATGGTTGAGGTTGGAAGGGACCTCTAGAGATCATCTAGTCCAACCCCCCTGCTCCAGCAGGGACACCTAGAGCATGTAGCACAGGGTGGCATCCAGGTGGGTTTGGAAGGTCTCCAGAGAAGGAGACTCCACAACCTCTCTGGGCAGCCTGTTCCAGGGCTCTGTCACCCTCACAGTAAGGAAGTTCTTCATTAGATGGAGATGGAACTTCCTGGGTTTCAATTTATACCCATTATTGCTGCACTGATGCCACTGTTCGAATGGCAAAATGACTTAGCAGGAAGATGCATTCATGAACTTTACCCACAGACTAATGTGTCTTTTTCAAAGAAATACAAAGCACAGAAGTGATTCAGCTCATAACCAGACAAGTGTAGAAGCAGCCTGGCACTTATGGAATTTTCTATTGTAGGAAACATGATTTAGAAAGTTCTTCAGGTGAAGCCAATAAGTGCCAGGCTGCTAAAAAAGATCTCTTCAAACACTCAACAGAATTCAAAGATTTCAGTTTTCCTTCCATAACATCAAGCTTGCTTTCATACCCGAAGAGCTAGTAACGTGAGTGACAGAATCCAGAGCAATAGTCCCATGCACACAGTTAGGTAGCCCAGCAAGTGACTGTACCCGTCCCTATTAGTTTAAAAGACAGTTTTAAATTGACTATCACTTCAGCTAACTCAAACTGAAATGGAGCCTTAGTAGATGACACATGACTCCTCCAATTTGTTTTTTTACAGCTAACTATGTGACACTTACTTCCTTTGACACAAAAGTATTCCCGTTGCATGAATTTTAACTATGCTAAATAACATTTTAGCCACAATGTTACCTGAGCTATACAGACAGGTGACAAGACTTACAGCTCAGGAATATAATTTGAAAAGACATGATTGTATGGAAAAAGATTTTCAATTAAAAGGGAAAACAGTGCACTGGGTATTTTTGCTGATTTCTACGTACTTGCATCTCATTAAAACAGTAACCCTAACTATTACTTCCTTGGATTTACGAGATGAGCTAAGGACAACAGTAGGAGGCACACTTCACTCAGAGTGACTAGAGCTGAATTCAATATACACAATGTAAATAAAAGTATTTGAAAGCTGAGACTACATTAGTCATTTCCTTGTCATGCCTGAAGCTGAGCACTGACCCCAGGTGCTTGCCCATCAGCTCTTCACAGCTCCGCTATGTTTGTGGCAGGGCAGCTATTTCAAATTTAAATACTTACATCTAGTATTTAAACTATAGGGTATCTATAATCTGCTAGTTTAATTTGTGGTCTGCTTGAACCAGTGTAGTCTATAAGCCTTGTCTTCCTTAGGATTTTGTTGTACATCTATGAGTGACCTTGAAATACTTGACACCTTCCTCCATCTTCCTCACATAAGAAAAATTACAGTCTTTTTCAGGACTTCCCTTAGAGAAATATTAAAAATGCTGTTAAACTACACACAGAATTTCAACTCATTCTCCTTCAGTTTGCTCCACTATGCCTTACACCAAGCATAAGAACTATTAAAACGCAGTCTGGAGCAGCATCCTCCAGACTATCCTCAGCAACTTAGGAAGCCAAATTGTATTTGAAAAGCAAGACTTAAGCACCAAAACTCCTTCATCTTAGCCTTTATTGCCAAGCAGCATGTAAATAAGAACTAGGTGTAGCTGCATTACCAATAGTTGAAAAGTCATTTGGCCAGGAGCCATTACAGACCCTCCAGTGCAGGATGTAAGATCCTCAATCTGCAAGATTCCTGCAACCAAGTTTCTTCTGATAATCAAACACTGTCAATTAACTGAACTAAAAGAAGCAAGCTTCTTATTTCCTTCTAAACAGCAGAGATCTTAAAAGAAACCGAAGCATTTACGGTATGCTAGAAAAATCCCTAGAAGGACATACCACCAAGGAATCTGCTAAAGATGGAATTTTTATTTTCCAGTGGAAAATAAATAGGTTGTGTCTTGCAATCAAGACCTGTGATACACCTTTACCAACTCTGAGCAGGCCAGGAGAGGTACATCTTAAGTTGCATAACCATGCTCAGCAGCCTTACTCTGGCAATACTTCAGTTGTATTGGAAAAGGCTCCAGAAAGATGAGACGCCCAGGACACTCATACTTGCTGGCATGAACAACAGATTGGAAAAGTAGCTCTATTCCCAAAGAAGGCATCTCAAGGTGATTAAAAGTAAGCATGAACGAGTTATGCTAAGTGTTTATATGGTATGAAGAAAATCCATCACACTCCACCAGAAAATAAGTGTGCTTTGAAGGTTCACCAATTCTCAAGCCATAGCATTCTGGAAAAACAGCAAGACACCTAAGTTCCTGTCTGTCTTGGTGAATTCAGACTGTATTTTGTTACAAATCACATATAAGGACTTTCACCAACCTGTCAACAGTTGCCTAGAGAAAGAGGAAGATGTACCTATCATACTAACAACTACCAAGTTCCTCCTTTTATTACTAGAAGCAAACAAACAAAACATCACTTAACCTTTAATATCCTACTAACTAGAGCCTATCTCCTTTAGCAAATACTTTAACAGCTATAAAGTTCATAGTCATGTCTCAAAATTGTCATTTTGAATACAATGTCTTTATTACAGGAAAACTGCAGTTTTAAGTAAACTGCTATACAGTCCTGTAATACTGCTAACCTCCAAGCAAAACATGATTGCATTTACCCCCTTATGAATATTTTCATTTGGGCTTTGTGCAATCTCATTGTCATTATTGAGCACTAGTTATGGAATTCCTTGATCAACTGAAAGCTAGGCAATATGCTCTTTATAAATATGTTTATTAAATTACTTCAAAGAAGGTGCGCTTTAAACAGTTTGTTCACCTGGTATTGAGGATGGTTAGGACATTTCAAAAGAGGGAGCATTAGTGGGAAGTGACTGGTACCAAGTTGACATTGGTTTCTGATGAGCAAATATAGCATAAGGATTAAAAAAAAAGAAAAAAAAGAAAAAAGATTTCAGGGGTTAAAAGTAAAGGAAATCTATAATTCCAGAGACTAAAATTTCAAATAAGAGCCACATCATTTTGTGGGATTATTCATCTCCTCCCAGCAGACCCTGCACATACTTAAGCAGAGCTCAACACTGGATCATTTCACTTTTTTTTTGAAAAGTGTTGCCAAGAAGACCACAGCAACTACACAGCTTGCATGGAGGAAGGGGGCACGCTCAAGGCTCACAAACATAACCGGAAGTTTACTTCCACAGTCACTAAGTGTGGCATAACAGCAATAACATAACGGGTAGGAATACCAAGATACTGGTACAAAGCTTGAGCAATCACCCAAAAGCAAGTATGAAAGATTTGGGAGCTCTCTTAAGTCCTCTTAGACAGGAATAGTTAAAAAAAAATAATAATTGTTTTTGACAGAGGAAGAAAACTTTGATACATTACTGCAACCATTCATTTGTGAGCAACTAACTGCTTAGACACCTCTCAGAAATTTATGGGATTTTCACCTAGCGTCACCTACACTGAATTGGGTGTGCACACAGGCAATACCAAACTGTGCTGAAAGTCAACCCTAAAAAGCAAGGGCCAGCCTTTTAACATTCTATCCATATGAAGGCAAACCGGCGCACCACGGACTTGTTACTGGCACTCCAAGCTCTCCCCATTTAAGCTTGTCTCAGAGTAACCTGCAACCCGGTTGTACAAGCTCTGACACACACAGAACTAAGGCCGTTCTTGCCATCATTTGATGAGGGCTCTACTAAACTCTGACCCTGCTGAGGTCTAAAGACTTCCTAAAAGAGTTGCCTTATTCCAGTTTAATCCACTGTTTGGAAAAGCTGAACTGCAGCCTCGTACAGCTTCAGAAAGGGGACAAATGCTCTTTTCCCAGTGCCTACAGCAAGTGAGGACCCTAGAACTTAGAATGAAAAGAGCAAGTTTGCAAAACCTAAATAATGTGACACACTACATGGCTTTGTGTATATTCAAAGACTGCCTCCTACCACAGTCTATTGCCATAAATACAGTAAATGCCTGTGGGGGGGGGGAAGGTTTTGAAGAAAAAATATTAAGCTTAAATACACTCTGAAAAATAAAGTTTACTTCAAACTGGCATTCACCTACATTGCAAAGGGCATATTCTCTCAGTCTCCCTAAAGCCTTGCACAAGTATTATTTACAACCCTCCAAGCTACACTTTGGAAGCATAAAATATAAGATGTGGTAAGAAAGAACGTCTTAATACAGGTTTTGAGGACAAAGAGCTAAAAGACATCTTCAGAGAAGATATTTAAAAGGCGGGCAGCCTCCAAAGAAAGATTGCACCTTCCTTCCAAAGGAGCATCTCAGAGAGGTCTGCACAGCCCTCCCTGAGTAGGGCTGACTGGGGGTCAACGTATTTTTACGTTCTTCAAGCACGTAGGCTCACGCCTGGCCACACGCCTGAGTGTGGTAGCTTTTATTGTCGCTATTACCACGGCTATTGTTGGTTACCTGCAGCTCGCACCAGGCAACTTCCACAGTGGTCTCCGTATCCAGCCCCTTGTAGACAGTTTTGAAGGAGCCCCTGCCGATCTCGATGTCGAACTTGAGGAAGCGGCGTGCGGGGGAGATCCCCACTGCCTTGGTCTCCAGCTCCTCGATGTCCTCCTGCTGCGCACGCCGTTCCTCGAGCTCGCGGCTGGCGACGGCGGCGCTGCCGGCAGAGCTGCTGGCGGGCAG